CAAGTCATGTGACTTGGTACACAGTATTTGCTTTTATCGATTTTTTTATTACAGTGAGAACTCATCTCTTATTGATATATGTGGGATTCTCAATTCAGAAAGTTACATGGCAATAGTGAATTCACTAATTTACCTTACAGTGAGCATGCCCTTATTTTGTCCGTATATGCAGATGGATTGTGAAGTCATGTGACTTGGTGCACATGCTTTGGTTTTCTAGATTTTTTGCTCGATTTTTTTATTACAGTGACAACTCATCTCTTATTGATATATGTGGGATTCTCAATTCAGAAAGTCATATGGCAACAGTGAATTCACTGATTTACCTTACATTAAGCATGCCCTTATTTTGTCCGTATATGCAGATGGATTGTCAAGTCACGTGACTCGATACACAATATTTGCTTTTCTTTGTTTTTTCAGTGCAGTGACAACTCATACCTTGTTCATATATGTGGGATTGTCATACAGAGGCATCTTTCTAAAGCCATTCATAACCAACTATATAAACGACTAAAGGTGAACACACAACCTTACAACTCATTTCGGCCTACGAAATTATCATTCATTTGTTTTAAAAAATTAGCATGGCTACACGATTCATGGGAGGGAGTGGGAATCGTAGAGGTAGTAGGGACTTGCAAAGGGGTGACAGTTCACGACGAGGAGAGGGAAGGGGCCGTGGTGATGCTAAAGACAATTCATGGGAGGGAGTGGGAATACCTATTTTAGATTATGCTTATGGTTATCGTGATAGGTTTGGGAAGCGACATTTTTTGATGCCCAAGTATTATCCAGTTCAAGGAGGTTCATGTATTGAGCCATCTGACAATCAAACAGGATATGGTTTTTCTGATGCTGCTCGTCTCAAGTGGCCCGCACTATTTATAGAGCGGGTACAGCTGGAAACCTTAAGTCGGGAAAATCAACTTAAGGTGCCAAAAGCACGTTCTGCTGAGATCCAAAAGAAAGATCCTAATAATGTTGATCGACTATGTGAAACACTACAACGTGAGATTTCTCAAATGCGCCGTAGGTTAGCCCGCGATATGCAGCTATATATAGTTAAGAATGATGCCCAGAAGAACAAAACAAAACCAAATGTTGCGGCTATCAAGGGTATCATGGAGGATCCTGAACTTGTCTCTGACGCTGAGCTTTCGGATTATTCAAACTTTGAGCCACCTACCGATTTAAGCGCGAATTAGGTGTTAATGTCTACACCTCGGCAATATTAGGTCATGCATTAATATGTAATGTCTGTGTTAGACTAAGTATAACTGTTATTTATGTTTATGTTTATGTTTATGTATTGTGTTTGTCAAATGTTGCGGCTATTAATATGCAATATTAGGTCATGAATTAGGTGTTTGTCTGTCTAACTGTTATGTTTATGTATTGTGTGTTCAATTCAGGGTGTCCAGGATGTATGTAATGTGTATTCAGTTCATGGTGTTCAGAATGTATTTTTGTGGGAGACTTATGTCTGTACTACCTATGTAACTGAAAACTATTACATTTGCAACTTCAGTTATGTTGTTTTCATGCCTGTATGAGTATTTAGTAAATTAGTGACTTCGTATATTATGTATTACATTTTATTACAAAAATGTTGACAAAATTTATTTTAGGAGGTCTTGCGGTGGCCTTCGTCTTCTTGGCCTACTCCGCGGTGCTCTTCGCGTCTCACCCTTCGTCGTTGCTCGTTGAACTGCACAGTGTGTGGGTGTGCTTCAGACTGTAGAGCATGTATGTCACCTTCTAACCCAAAACAAAGACGAAAGAAAAAAATTTATTTTTTTAATGAAAACGGGTACAAAACGGTTTTACTAAACTGGTTTTCTGAATTACATTCTCACCTTGTAACCCAAAACAAAGATAAAAGAATAAATATATATATTTAAATGAAAGCGGCTTTAGTAAAGCCAAAATAATTTTCTGAATAACACCTTCTAATCCAAAACAATGACAAAAGAAAAAAAAAATTTACATGAAAACGACTTTAGTAAAGCAAAAAAAAAATAATTATTAATTACATTATCACCTTCTAACCCAAAACAAACACAAAACAATAAACAAAAAAAATTTACATGAAAATGGCTTTAGTAAAGACAGAAAAAATTTCTGAATTACACTTTCTAAACCAAAACAAAGACAAAAGAAAAAAAAAATTTAACATGAGAACGGCTTCAGTAAAGCCAAAAAAAATTTATGAATTACATTATCACCAAAACAATGACAACAAAAAAAAAAATTTACAAAAAAAAATTAAATATAATTTACATAAACAGTGAAAACGTGGTTTCAATCCATACTTACTGTAGTGAACAATGAAAGCATGCATTTTGTAAATGAACATGATTGGCTTAATAATATCTAAATGAACATGATTTTAAAATTATATATATGAAAAATATTATGCAAAATTAATATATGAACCAAGGCTTTTCCCATAAAAATTTAAATGATATATAAATTGGCTTAATTCCCAAATGTTTGGTAATTAGTTAAAAATATTATGAAAAATTAATATATAAAGAAGAGGCTTTTCTTGTATGATGTAACACAAATTAATATATGAAAAGAATAGGTTTTCCCCATATTATGTAAAATTTCTGAATTATACCTTCTAAACCAAAACAAAGACAAAAGAAAAAAAAAAAATTCAACATGACAATGGCTTTAGTAAAGCCAAAAAATTTTTATGAATTACATTATCACCAAAACAATGAGAATAGAAAAAAAAACAAAATATTAAAAATAAATAAATAAATGAACAGTGAAAGCGCCATTCTGAATAGCGTTTTCTTCTGCGAAAAATAATGCATAGTGAAAACGCCATTTTGAATAGCATTTTCTACACGAAAAAATAATGCACGGTTAAAGCGCCATTTTGAATAGCGTTTTCTGCAAGAAAAAAAAATGTTACAGTTAAAAGCGCTATTTCGAATGGCGTGTTCTTCAAAAAAAATGTTATGTGAAAAACGTGATTCGCGACGACGTTTTCTTAATTAAAAGCGTCGTTTGTAATAACGCTTTCGCTATTCACCACATTTTGAGCTCTAAACAGTGAAAACGTGATTTGTAATAGCGTTGTAGCCTAGTTTGGGAACTCCCTCCAAACTAGGCCTAGTTTGGGAATTAAGCTACAAAATAGGCTTAATATATAAAAAACCTCTGCAAATAGAATTATCAAGTCACTTCTCACGCATTAATTAATCATTTTTTCTTTTAAATTCATTTATTCAACTGTAATTTTTTTTATAAATTATATAGAGTTATCAATATCACATCTTACACATTAATTAATCATTTTTTTTTTCAAAGTCATCTATGCAAATACAACTTTTTTTTTGCAAATTGTACAAAATATATAGGGGTATTTTTTTTAAGGTCCCTGATATTATGATTTTATAGTATAAAGGACATCAACTATTTTCATGATGTCTAAGGTCCCTCAACATCAATCCAGAGAAATTTCAGTCCAGAGAAAATTCGATTCAGAGAAAATTTAACCAGAGAAAATTCAATCCAGAGAAAATTCACCCAGAGAAAATTTAATCCAGAAAAATTCTCTTCCTCTCTTCAATGTAATATTTTCATCGTAGACACGATCAAACCTGTGAAAACTCAATGAAACATGTGAACTCAACGTTCTGCCCTTTATGTTTTGTGTACTGCAACAACAAAGGATAGTTATATTTACAATTGGGCGGTGTCGGCAGATGAATGAAGAAGAAATTTAAAAACAAAACCAGCCAAAAAAATCAGGCCCAAACAATTGAAAAGAAAATCAATGAATTCAAAAAACACCGAGACACCAGTTGCTTGTGTATGCTTGTGTATGAATTCCTAAATGGGACGGTTTTGGGATTGTCTGAAAAATTTATATCAGATTTCTCTAGACTCTCCAGACCCAGAGAAATTCTCACACATATTTCAGAGATTTTCTCACCCAGAGAATTTCTCTGGATTCCACAACTCAGAGAAAATTCCCAGACATATTTCCAGAGAAATTTTCTCAACCCAGAGAATTTCTCTGGACTCCACAACCCAGAGAAAATCCAGGAGCTTGCTTAATCCCCCAAATAATTTATTCCCACCTTTTTATTTCCCAATTTTACTTTTTTTCTTCTTTGGAGTGGGGGGAGGATGGGAGTGAATATAAGAATTCACTCAAGATTCAACAAAATGTTTTACTGGAAAGAGGTCTTGAGTTATATAAATATTTTTTTTATAAAAAAATTTCTGTTTTCTTCTCCATTGGATTTCTCTTCCTCCATTTTCAGTGACATGAGATTTTTAAAAGTGGGAATCAGGTAGCACAGGGATAGGTTTAATAATTTAAAGTTCCAATACGTTGGTAGGTTGGTGTTTGCTGAAGGCTTTTCAAGAATCATAGAATGTGTAACATGGGTTTTACTTAACTTTCTTGGCGTTGACTTGACGAGTGGAAATAAGCTCTTCGAGGTTGTTCTACTGAAACATTAGTATACTGTTGTCTCTATCGTTGCTGAAGAAGTAAACGCTGTCCAAGTCAACACCGAATGTCCAGCTCAACTCGGTAATCACTGGATCGACTCTGTCCTTATCATCATCATCCATGTCTCTGTAGCCACCACGATCGGTTGATCGGTTGTAGATGGGTTGAGAACTCTGTCCGTCGGTGACTGTGATTGTGCCGTAGAGCTTCTCTCCGTCGATTAAGCTCCGCGAGAACCTCCCTAAACCTCTCCACCGACACATCTTCCGGCGACATGGCTCTCTCTCTTTGTGTGCGTGTTTGATCGTGGTGACGAGTGACAGTAGACAAAAGGAAGGGTGCTGAATTTCTCTGTGATAGATGGGAGGACCTTAGACATCAAAAAATAATTTTGTGGATCTCTTCCCTTACGAAAAGTGGGAGAGGGACCCTACATCAATTTTCCCAAATATATATATATATATATATTTTTTTCCTCGTAAAATAGTAAAAAACAATCAACTAAAATAACCGAGCACAATCTAGACACGTCGCCATGTACAGTTGACAACAAAGAAACCCTAACCTGCAACAACCTGGACGTGCAATTCCCAAAACCCTAATTTCGATCAAAACAGCCATCTCTCTCTCTCTCTCTCTCTCTCAAAATGGTTCCATAATCTCCACTCTCGCTCTCCACAAATACATACAGTTATATATATACACACGCACACACTCTCTTCTCTCTCTGTAGAAATGTCTCTCGATGGAGCCGTGGAAAGGAGGAAGGAGAGTCAGACAGGAACAGGAACAGGCCCTGTGAACAACAGGAACGGAAATGGAGTGGTTTCATCGACCGTGCCTTCGTACTCGACTCATCGTCTTAGATTGAACCCTAACACAGATCACAAGCCCGATAGCTATGAAGACCTTCAATTGGAGTTCAGTCCTCTCCTCTTCAGCTCTCTCGAGAGGTACCTCCCTCCGACCTTGCTCAATGTCTCCCGCGAAGCTAAGGTTCACTACATGCGCGATATTCTGCTTCGCTACTCACCTGAAGGAGAGCGTACTAGAGTGAGTATCAATATTTGAATTGATAACTGTTGGTTTGTTTTTGGATTTGGGTGTGTTTGGGTGCTGTGAAATTGAAGAACGGGAGTGAATTTTGAATTGTTTGTTCGAAATTAAGTTAGTTAAATCGGGAACAGTAACAGTGGTGGGGAGTTTGTGTTCAAACCTTTTGAGTCTGTTTGGATTGATGTGAATTTTAAATCAATGATTTAACCTTAAGCATTCAAGGACAATGACTCGAATTTAGATATGGTAGTTTACCTATGAATTTTAAGATTGAGTTATATAGATTTATCACGATGGATTTGAAATCACTATATAAAATAGTTATTTGAAATTATGTTAAAGATTGTCTTTGTAGCTACAAGGATCCTAATAAATTATACTAGTGGTGTCTGCCCACCCGATTGTTAAATCTGAAAAATATAAATTTTGATTTTGATTTAAAAGAACACGTATTGTGTGTCACAATAGTGGTAAGGGTATTGTCTACCATATAATTTTGTATTTTAAATAGGCTAGAAGAGCATTCTTGGAAATCAAAATCCGTGACATTTTTTGTGTCAACACTATCTGAAGCCTTCCCTGTATAATAGTATAGATATTTCTATCTGAGCTTATCTTCTTGCATTTTTTATTTATTCGGCCACAAATCCCTTGATTCAAAATACACATGCATCCAAACAGACCCTTGGTTTCCCTACGATACATTTAACCTACTTTTTATTGGCAACCTAACAGAGCAGCCAGTAATTTGTTCTGCTTATTATTTTAGATGGATGAGAATTTTAGGAAGGGAATATGAAATTTTAGCAATGTGTTACATATGAGGAAATGTGTATTAATCAATGTTGGTTTGTTTTAGGGTTTCGGATTTGGGATTGTTTGTGTGTTGAGAAAACTGAATAAATGAAGTGAATTTTGCATTATATGTTCAAAATAAAGGGCATCTCCAATCCTTACCATTTACCCATAAATTTAAATTTGAATAGAAATGCTTAAACTCATACCAAAATGAGTTTTACTCAAATTTGACCAAAATCAAAGGAGATCTCTTTTTTTACTCAATTTTTAAAGACATTTTGTGGTGATATAACAGCTTCTAAATTTGCAATTGTTCCATTTACCTAACTTTTACTCAAATTTATACTCAAATTAGAGTTTGGCCATTGGAGGACTCTATATCAAACGAAGCTTTTACTCAAAATTTCAATCAAATCTGAGTAAAAATGTAAGTGCTGGAGATAGCCAAGTAAGTTAAAAGACTGTACAGAACAATGGGGAATCTAATTTCAAACCTAGTTTCTTTACAACTTTGCCTACTTTTTCTTGGCAACCAAACAGAGCCGTCAGTAATTTGTTCTGCATATATATATTTTTTTTCTTTTCTTTTGCATTTACTTTGTTAGATAGATGAGAATTGTAGGAGAAAGTGTAAATTGCAATATTGGGACTGCCACACAAAGTTATATGATTCTTGGAATTAGTTTATTGTCTGATGATTGCATGGCTATTGGATGGACAGTAGTGTTTTGCATTTGAATTACAGAAATGCCCTTTAGTCTCTCTTGAAAATGCATAGCATTAAGGTTGTTATGTGTGTGCAAATTGTGGTCTTTAGCACAAGTATTGATAGTTTCCTTAAGGTAACTATTTATCAGTATTCATTGAGTGAGAAAATAAAATGTTAGCAATGTGTTGGTTTCTATCTTTTATGATTTTAGTAATGCATTTAAACTTTAAAAGTTAGGATTTTTTTTATTACATAGATTTACTTCAAGGTGTTTAATGATTACAGTAGAGAGGCTCGCTCTCCTTTTGTAAACATTGCTGCTATTACTTACTGCAAAAGTGAAAGTCATTAAATGTGTGTTGAATATTTTTAGTTTATAGTACATACCCAGTGATATCCAGATGTTATGAAGTGATTGGTAGGTGATTTGAAAATAACATATGCTTAAATAGTTAATGGGCCTTTTTTTTAACCTAGCACTCATTGATTTCTGGCTCATGTCTGCCTTGTTTTTAAGATGAACCTTGCATGAAAGCCAATGATGCTTTGAGACTGTTTCCTGATTTGGGTCCTTACCATTGCCAACAAACAGTGCATAACTAGTAATTAAAAGTACAAAAAATGCTTAGGATCTTGTCTGAGGTCTGTTTGACAATTATAGTGCTTTGTGTTTGGAAGACACAGTGTTAGGGATGAACATGTTTTTGGCTGACTAATGTTGAGGGTTTCCATGTTCTTCCCATATTGAGATGAAAAAAAAAAAAAATGAAAAAAAAAAAGAAGGAAGAAGAGAAAAAACATGTGTTAGACTTGAGTTGAATTTTGGATGTTCTTTGACTCTTTCAAATGAGGGAAGATGTTTTAGACTACTGGTTAGGGTATTCATTTCTGTTGGTTAGTGCTGCAACTCTGGATGGTATTAAGCATATAGTATGCCTTAATTGTAGAGGGTGTTTGGGATGATCTAAATAAGTATATTTTTTGATTTTTTACGAAAAGATGTGCAAAAAAGTAGAGAAGTGGTGTGATTCAAAAAAGATAAAAAGATAAAAAAGTGTATTAAAATAGGGGATGCCAAATAGTGCCGTAGTTTCCCTCATTCTGCTGATTAAAAATCCTTAGTTTTGATTTATTAGTCCATAAAAAAATTTTCATTTTGTTTCAGAAATTCCTTTGAATTTTTAAAGTAATTCATAACACATTCCTTCATACTCATTGGGAATGTTTCTTGATGCATTTTTTTTCTATGCTCCATTTTAGAGACATTGAAATTTCAGAAACCATACACAAATATTGAATGTTGAATATTATATCATGGAACTTGGGAATCATTAACTTTGAATTGGATTCCATGCATCTTTAGTCATCTATGGCTTCCAGTGAAAGAAAGGGAATCTATGTGTCTTTTTGTCTTTTTATATGTGGAATATATGGAAAAAAATCAATTTTATTAATAATCTTACTGTTTTTGGAACCTAAGCCTCATTTGTCTGTTTAAATTAACCCATCTTTAGTTAGATTATTGCATTGTTGCCATCTTTAAAGAAACCAAAACAGATGGGTCTTCCTTGGAAGAGTATAATAATTCATGTTGAGTTGGGTTACCAATGGTTTATTTGTATAGTTTCATTGCCTTTCGCTTGGCATTGTTGTAAATAACAAGAAAAGTATCCTTACTCTCTCTCTCTCCCTCTCCCTCTCCCTCTCCCTCTCCAAGATTGATACTAGTGATCTGACTGAAGTTTGAATTCAACAAGTCCCATTCATTCACTTCATCAGCAAAGGTTGTGGTTCTACACATGCGAGCACATGCATTTTCTAGGGCCCAAGTCCACCTAAAAAATGATATTCATGTTTATTGTTTTGCATATTGGGACCCATGTAAATCTTCTGCTTTCTTGATGGACGCGTGGCATAATGGATACATGTACTATCTTTGTAGACATGCTTATCTTTTGGCCAAATTTTCATCACCAATTCTCTTCTAATATTATCTCCCTAGCCAAACAATTCCTGATAGATTTGCACTACATTTTAACAGATTCAAAAGCATAGAGAATACAGGCAGAAGATTATATCAAACTATCAGGTAGCTTTCATGGTGAATTTTGATTTAGTGGTTGTGCATTCTTTCATAATCAGGACTATGATGACTTTGAAACATTTTCACCTAATATATTTCGGTTGACCATATGATAAAATATGATTTGCTTCTTTTGTCTTTTGAATGTAAAGGCTCCTTTGGTCAATGTGGCCAATAGTATCATAGTTTAACCTTTTGTAATATGGGCTGCATCCCCTTTTTTATATTTATGCCAATAAAATTGCTTTGCTCATCAAAAAATAAATTGATTTGATTTATTAGTTTCATTCTCAAATTTTCTTATGTGGAGGAAAATGTTTAAAGGCTAGAGGAGAAACCTCAAGTGTTAAAGTGGGCCTAGATGAATTTGAAAGAGAAGGGAGTTGGAAATTGTACGCACTGTGCTTTCTCTGTGAGAAAGAAGGGCATGAGTGTGAATGAAGGGAAGAATAGGAGTGCCTGTGAGTGTGAACTGAATTGTGAATGTTTACATCTCTAAGTGGATAATCAAGTAAATTAGGAAAACTCTTGAAGTTACGAGTGCTTGTAAATGTTTCTTATCCTGTTTTTCATAGTCAAACTCTTGAAGGAGAAGAATCCACCAAATCAACCTAGGCTTGGTATCTTTTTTAAAAAGCAGATACCGCAAAGCGACATGATCAATGAACACGAATTAGGCCCGTTTGGTGTAACTGTTAAAACAGATTATAGATTATGACTTTAATCAGAAGCTGTTAATCTGTTTTGTGTAACTGTTGGATTATAGATTTAAGTTGCTGAGTAGTGTTTGTTAAATAAGCTGTGAAATAATTTTTTCAATTAACTTTTATTTTTTGTTATTCATTACTTATTTACATTTTTCATAAAAAATAATAATAATATTCTATAGTCCATTTGAGTCTTTCTATTTTTAAAAAAATAAAAAATAAAAAAATTTAAGAGTATAATCGTAAATTAACATGTGTACAGTAAAAGCTAATAATCAAAAGTAAGGGGTGAACAACTTCTCAGAATCAGCTTTTTTGACTTGAAATAAGTTGTTAGAATCTGAAGCTGTTTGAAATAAGTTTAACCAAACAGTCTAAAATAACTTTTCAAAAGCCAAAAGTCATAAGCTGGTTTAGAAAAGCCCAAACAAACACCCTCAATAAGGAACAAAGCTTCTCAAAAGCTTTTAGACATGCACCATCAAATACAAATGGAGGCATCTTTGGCAAGAAGATTGCACTAAGGCCTAGAAATCTTCCAGGAACGAATCTTCTTAAAATCTGTCAATCAACATCCAGGAAAATTCCCAAGACAACATGACTGACTGCCATGTGACATAATTTTCCTAGACATTGCTAAGTTGAAAGTTACTCGTTGGATTGGCCAACAATTATCTTTTTCAAGAGGTTCCTACGAGCAATGTTCAACTCTAATTTGGCTTTCAATTGAATTTGAGGGTGAAGAGATTTTTATATTTATTTTTAAACTTGTAAAAGAAAAATTAGTATGACACCAACCATAAACAAGATATCAAAGCAATAGAAAGACAGATGATATAGCCGTCCTTCAATAATACGAGACAATCATATTAGGTCTCATAGTCATCATAGATCATAATCATCCAACTTAGTGGTGGTTTGGGATGATCTAAATAAGTGCACTTTTTGACTTTTTATGAAGTATGGGTTAGGTTTGAAGTGATGTGACTTGAATAAGATGATGTGACTTAAATAGGATAGTGACTTTTTGACTTTTTAACTTTTTTAAGATACCCCAAACAAGGCCTTATTAATGTCCCAAGAATGGATACAATTGTTTCGTGTTATGCAAGTAGTGGTGGATTCGAACAACTTGAGGAATTCTTCTCAACTGAATTCGATCACTCTTTAGTATGACACTTATATACTTGCTTTTCATTTTCATTAAGTTCACATCATCAACCTTCTTCAATAAAGTAAAAATGTAAAAATATATGTATTATTGATTGATAGATGTAATTGTTGTATATTACAAATGGTGAGTGGCTCATTATATAGGAGAGGGTGAGTGTAGTAGGTGAGGAGTAGGTGAGGAGTAGTACTCTACAGCAGTCTTGGTGAAGAGCCCAACACCACACTCCATGAATACTTTGAACAAGAACAGATCATCAGCCAGGGAGGAAACTTATTCTTCGTTTGACAGACTTCAATCTTGTAGTTTATGAATATCTGGAGCTGGACTGTGGAGTGCCGTGGAGCTACAAAATGCGGCCGAAAGAAAAGGCCACACTGGAGTGATGGAGGCCGTAGAGAACACTTCTCATTCGCTGTCTCGTCGACAGCTAGTACGACTCGAACGCTGTACAAAGCGTTGTCCGCTGTCGATCAGAACTCCAGATCGTATAGAGGATTGTTGCCGGAATCTCAGATCTGTGTCGGGCAATGGCGGCGTCGTTATGGTCTCGCCGTCGGACTTGTGGCGGAGTTCTCGGGTTAGTTGGAAGATCCGGGCGGCGCAGGTGGCGAGGATTCGGATTCTCCGCCCTCGGCCCTCCACCTGGGTGTGGCGGTCCGTGGGAGGCATAACCTGAGACAAAGACCTCGAACCCTTGGAGTCAATGCCGAGGCTCGAGCTGAAGAGACAGCTGTGTGCAACGGAAGCAGAGATTGAAGAGAACCCAGTTGCGAAAGTGACCTTGGAAGTGTGGCAGGTGAGAGAGGGGTCCGAAGACGCTGTGGAGATTGGAAGGTATGTGTAGAAAATTCCAGCAGGCAGCAAAGGCAAAGTTGCCGGCCGGCTGCCCGCCGGTGATAAAGAAATACAGGCTTAAATCTTATAGCTCTGATACCATGTAAAAATATATGTATTATTGATTGATAGATGTAATTGTTGTATATTACAAATGGTGAGTGGCTCATTATATAGGAGAGGGTGAGTGTAGTAGGTGAGGAGTAGGTGAGGAGTAGGTGTGGTAGGTAATGGTAAATTGGTGGTAGGTGATGGTAAATTTTAACAAAAAACAATTTTCAATTTTAAACACTTTAGTCAATACAATCCCTGTGGTATGTTCCATGGTGCATTGGTGGAGATTTTGATGTTATATTTCTTGTGGAGGATGTGGTTTTTAAATTGTAATGTTTTGAACAAGTTTTGAGCAATTTTTCGAAATTTTTTGATGTGAGAGTTGTTGGATCTTCTGTTTAATTGGAGGGTAGTTCACTTGGTCTAGAAATCAAGATAGGCTATTTGCTTTCATTGGTCAGTTTTTTATTTGCAGTAGTTGGGATGGGTATTTCTAGGGTGTGACCAAGGTTTTAACAAAGCGGCTGCAACTGTTATGTAACGGTTGTGGTGGTTACTACCACCCATTACGGTCGCTATAGCGGTGTGATAGATATTCACACGTGTAACGGCCGTTTCGGTGTTATGTAACGGCCGTAGCGGTACTGTAATAGCCATAACAGTCCGTTACACACTGTTACACCCTTTTATAATATTCTGAATAACTTCCTTTCCCCCAAAAAATAAATAAATAAAAATTTACAAAAAAAGAACAAATACTCAAGTAATCCAAGCCTAAAGAAAAAAATCTTATATGAATTAATTTCAAGATTTCTAAATGTAGCGTTACGTAACAGTTGTGGCCCTTACGCAATGGTTGTGGTGGTAGGTACCATGTGTTACCCCCGCTTTTGTGGTGTAATTGAGATTCATAGGTATGTCGGCCGTAGTGGCTGTCGTAGCGGCCGTAACGGCCTGTTACGCACCATTACGTAATGGTTCCAAACAGTTTCTTTTGGAAAAAGAAAAAAAAATGCTGAAAAGGTGGAAAGAGGGATAGAGAGAGAAGAGGAAAGATGGAGTAGCAAGAGATAAAGAGAGAGAAGAGGGAAGATGAAGAACCCATTATTGATTTGTTGAAGATGATGCTGCCTGTTCATCTTGCCTGGAGAATTTCACCCAACCATGAAATCTTTGTTTGAAAAAAATAAAAAATAAAAAATAATAATAATAATAATAATAATAATAATAATAATAATAATAATACTATTTGGCTTGATTAAAAAAAAAATATATATATATATTTAGACTCTTATTTATTTTTTTACTTTTGTCATTGTTTAGCTTATATATAATAGTTAGTGATTGATTTTTTGTAAAATATTTAGAAAGCATAATACGTATAATTATATATTGATACATATTTTATACCTGTCAATTTTTGTTGATTAATTTATTTTATTTTTATTTTTATTTTTATTTATAGGTTATCTAAAAAGAGAACAAATATTCAAGTGATCCAAAGAAAAAAACCATGTATACATTTTTTTTCTTTGTAATTTATTTTTTTAATTTTTATATGATTACATTAGCGTGTATAATTTATTTTTTAAAACTATTCAAGTTAAAATTTGCATATGTTTCCACAAGTATAATAATTAAAAAAAGAATTTTATACATCTAAGTCCAATAAAAGAAAATTTTGCCACTTGTAATATGGATTTCTGACTTATAAAGTTATTAATTATTAAAATAAAATATAAAAAACTCAGTTTGTAGTGATTTAAAAATATGAAATATATTGGATCATATTTAAAAATTAACAAAAATTTATCAAAATTTATTTTAAAACCTAATAAATATGATTTTTGAAAAAAAAATGCGTATCGGTAAGTTTTTTTTCAAATTGTGCAAAAAATAAAAAAAATTTACGGTTCCAATTACCGCAACTGTTACGCTATGGCCTTTACACTCCGCAACCGCAATCGTGCCACTGCCACCGTTACGGCGACAGCAACTGTTTTTCAGAACCTTGGGCGAAGGTGATGGAGAATATTGAAGTTGCGGATGGTTTGGCTGCTTTTAGGGTTCTAATGAAGAAAATTTGTGTGGTTTGTTGCTATACTTATAGAGAATGCTATCATGGATTTGAGTCTTAGGAGTGGCATTCCAAGGGTTATTTGCAAGCTTCATATTGAAAAACCTTATGATCATGGAAATTGGTTTTCTTGATTATTTGTTGGTTTGTATTTCCACTATTCTATTTGTTCTAGTGAATAGTGCTACAACCCTTTTTTATTTTCTGGATATTAACTACTTATAAAATAATAAAAAAATTGATATTGAGGGGATTATGGTGATGGAGGCATTGAGTAGGATGATTGAACAATCAGTGCGGGAAGGTTTTATGTTAGGTTTTTAGGTGGGGAAACTGGAGGATTCCTTTTTAGATGATACTCTTATTTTTTGTGGGGTAGAGATAGAGTAGTTGGGTTATCTTTAATGCACTCTTCTTTGTTTTGAAGCAGTTTTAGGGTTAAAGGTGAATTTGGGACACGAACCGGATTATAAAGAGAACCAAACAATACCTATTACATTGATGGATTATAAACATTATGTTACTTATAAGCAATACCGATCAAACAACTATAATGTCAGATAATGGAATAGTTATCTTGATAAAAAATTATCTACATGATGAAATATGAATCACTAGCACCAAAGGCTATATCTCTGTTGGGTTGGGTAAAGGACCTCATTTACAAGCTCACCAATGTTTTTCAGTAGAGTCCATTATGCAATCAAAAGAATTGATCTTATTGAAAAATCGATGCCTTACTCAAGCCTCGAAGGAACAAGAGAACAATATCCTAACAAATGATCCGGTCGTTTCAGGTGCCCATTAAATTTAGGAGCCAAACAGAACCCGTCATTGATTTGAGATCTACAGTTGGCATCCTATCTGACGCCTTTTCTATGAATTAATATTTACTTACAATATTTATAAATAAATGAATAAAAGGTGTCCTCGTTGATGCTTGTATTTTAGAAATTGGATCTACTGAGAAATCTGAAAATTTAATCTCATATTATCTGCTGTTCTTTTTCTTTTTTCCTTGGCAAATTACTCATAAAAATTAAATTGCTTTGTTGTAATATTCATCTTTTACATTCTCAGTTGTTTTCTTATCTTTCCAGCCTCTACATAGGGAGCTATACACTATGCATGCTGCAAACTTCTTTGTACCCTCATTTTTCAAGGCGGTCAATGAGAATACAGAGGAGAGTTTTAAAAGTATTATGTCTGAACCCTCTCCAGGAGTTTTTACATTTGAAATGCTTCAGCCACATTTCTGTGAATTGTTGCTAGCTGAGGTATCATGTAGCTTTGTTCTTGTCATCTGGCATGAATTTTAATTCTTCCTTGTAGTTTAGCTTTTATGTTTTCTTATCAGGTTCTGATTGCTTAGGTAGAAAATTTTGAAAAGTGGGTTCATGAAACAAAATTCCGAATTATGCGACCAAATACAATGAATAAGCATGGTGCTGTTCTTGATGACTTCGGCCTGGAAACTATGCTTGACAAGTTGATGGAAGACTTTATACGCCCTATATCTAGAGGTAGAGTGTTGAATGATTTTAGATTTAAAAGTAGATACTAAAGCTGAATGATAGATTAGATATTCACTTAATCTTTTTGTTCTTCCTTCTAATATGATTTAAATCTTATGCAGTTTTTTTTCCTGAAGTTGGTGGATCGACACTAGATTCTCATCATGGTTTCGTTGTTGAGTATGGAATGGATAGGGATGTTGATCTTGGTGGGTGATCTCTTCAATGCCCCCCTCCCCATTAACCCCCCTAAAAAATCTCTTAGCCAATCCTTTTTATACCCTCTGTTTTGCCATTAGTACCTGCATAAATGATTGTGCATATATTGTTACTTGCAAAGTGTTTTTTAACTTGAAACAAGATTAAATTTCTAAGTTAAGTGAAACTGAATGAGGGCATGAAGTTACCATTATTACATTTTTCATTGATTGGTCTAATAGATGAGTTGATGAAGTTTCTTCTTCTGAGGACTTAAGTTATACTGTTTTGCCACTCTCAGAACTCAGATTGCGTAGAGTAAAAATCCTTTGTGATAATTTCCAATTTTCTGGATTATAATATGGAAAACAGAATAGCAGCTGGCGATATGCCTCTCAATGTCATTATTTGATCAGAAACTAACAACATTTGAGCATTTCTTGGAAAGTTATGTATGACCCTTTTTTAAGTTGCAACAGTCCTAGTTGCGGATGTCTGAGGATCTAATCTATCACTCAGTTGTACCCCTAGTTGAGAGTATGAGCAAACCACTACACAAAAACGATTGAACTTCTGCAACCCCTTGACATGGTAATTATATAGATTATGTAAATTCTTAGTTCATTGGTGTGCTAGGTTCAGGTGTAGGTTATTGGTTTCTTGCTTCGTTCAGTATCAATGACATGAGTGAAATTGACACAGCCTAAGGACAGGCTCTTTCTCTGATTAGGAGAATGATGCAACCTAGAACTTGCCTGTGTTACCCATGGACAAGCCACCTGAGTTCAATCCATTCTCAGCTCTCTTCAGGTTTTCCTTGTAATGCTGCTTGTAGCTCATTAGTTCACCTCGTCCACCTAGCCATAGAAAACCTCACTTATTGAAACTCTACTTTCTCTGGGCATGTTTGAGAAATTTGAAAATTGTGGAGGTTTAACACAATTTCTGGAGGGGTATCACTCTTCCTCAGTGTCTGTCGGCCAACTATTAAAAAGAAACATGGTGTCGGATTTTATCTAATATATTTTAGTTTATGCAACCAGCCTATTCATAACTAGCTGTCACTGGTGGACTATTTTATGCTCTAGAGCATCAGCATGTATTTGGCCCAATGAATTATTGTGTTATTTATTTTTGTCAATTTATAAGAGATTCTTACATTTGGGAACATAATATTTCCTAACAGACTCAATTTGGATGTTATGATAGAAGTGATTGCTTGAGAAACCCTTGGACTGGTGGGTGATATTCTTGACCACCAATAATATTCCCTACCTATCAATTAATAGTTGCAGGTATTTTTCCTATCGTTAGTTACCTTTCATAAGGCTAAACAAGACTCTGTCATTGCATACTTGCCAAGCCAATGTGCCTCCCCAAAACAATACAACCTCTATCACTAGGTTGTTCTCGGGCAGAAAGCATGTTAATTTCTAAAATTTGCCTTGAGACCATCTTAGACACCTCTTAAGTTTTATCTGTGTCAGGCACATTCATGATATTCCATGTCCAATATATGGTCACCATGTCATTCGTCTTAGTATCTCCTGTAGTAAAGTCACTTTTTCCCACTTAAATGTCAACAGTTGTCAAAGTAACAATATGAGCATTCTCTGTTTGACCTTTGCATTTGGTGTGCCTCTAGAATCTTGTATTGTTGTCGTGAAATCCTTTTTTAAATTTATTATAAAGTGGAAAAGGGACTGTAAGGGCTGGTAGTTTTTTGTTGATGCTTTACTATGTTATCAACAGCTAGTATGATTGCTGGACGATGTACTGTTAAGTCTAACTCCACTTTCCTTTGTGATTGTTTCTTGCTAATCCATGCTTCCTTGAAAGCGTATCAATCTTTTCTTGTGAAGTATTGTGTGCAACTTTTTTTCTTCTTGTTTTCCTTCCTAGTCTCAATGTTAATACTAAATTCTCGTGCTTTTCGTCCATTTTAGTAAAAGATATCATGTTTTGGTTCTAGCATCATTCTGTTTGCTTTCACCTTCGACCACATGTTTGTCTATGTGCTTTTATGTCTGTGTTGCAAAATGGATAAGTTTTTTTGTTAGATATGTCCATATTTTTTCGTTATGTTTTCTTTTCCTTTTTTCCCCCTTCCTTTTTTCCCTTTAGTTGTTATAATTTCATCACCTATGTATAAATATACACATAAATATTTTTACTTAGTTGTGTTTGGTGCTCAAAATTTTTCAACATGGAAATGGTTGCAATATTATTTGGGCTTGAGAATCTAAACAGTTTTACCTTTATAGGTTTCCATGTAGATGACTCAGAAGTTACTTTAAATGTTTGCTTGGGTAAGGAATTTTCTGGTGGAGAACTGTTCTTCCGAGGAGTTAGATGTGATAAACATGTAAATACAGAAACTCAATCTGAGGTATGTTGTCATTAAATTAGTGATATTTGACTGCAGTTGATTAATCATCTTTAGCAAATGCTTTTATTTGGTATGCAATTTCGTTCATTAGTTTGTCTTTTTTTTTTTTTTTTTTTTTCTTGATTTTCTACGACAGTCTCAGTGACTGTAAATTTTAAAAAATGTTTGACTGATGACTTTGTTACTCTACATGACTATTGTCTTTTAAAATAAAAATAAAATACGCCACAATTTTCCTCCCAGAAAATTTTAAGCCAATACATGTTTCATAAGACGTCAATTCTTCTAAAGTGATAACTAGGCTCAGGCAATAGTACAACAACCCAGTTAGTCCTTGATTACTCTTTCATGTTTATTGACTAGGTGAAACTCTAAATATATGCTTTTCTTTATTTTTCATTTCAACATGTAGTATACTTATGTGGGCCATATATTGCCCTCTATTGTTGGCAATGGAAAATTGTGGCTCCTTTCTTTTTCATATACATTTGTTTGTATGACAAAGGTATCTTATAAACCATATTGACTCCTTCAATGTAATTACTCCCTCCGTCCCATTTTATTAGTCCACCTTTCCATTTTAGTCTGTCCCAAAATGTTTGTCCACTTTCTATTTTGGAATACTAAATTTTTTTAGATTTCCAAAATTGCCCCTTATAAATCATTGTAAACACATTTTAAAATTTAAAGAGAAGGGCAATGGAGGGAAAAATATTTCAAAATTTGAATTAAAATGTAAGGATTGCATGTCTCGTCATTAAGTTGGATTTTCTATAATGGACAAATAAATTGTGACGGAGGGAGTATAATTTATAAAAATAACAAAAAAGAATACTGGAGAATGAACTTTCAATTTTACATTTTTAGTATGTCACTAGAACAATAATAACAGAAGTAATGAAGAATACCTATTGTTACTGCATAGGAAGATTGTTGGATTGAAAATGTTGTAATATTCATATTTGTATACTTCTACTTCAACAAAATAATGATCACAGAGGGTTGAGTTTCAGCAGAAGTAGATTATGCTAAACATTTAATTGAAATTAACATCTCTTTAGGGTAACTGTTAGGCTTGTCAGGATTCAGTTAGGTTGTTAAAACTGTTTCTTGGCCTGAAACAAAGTCTTTTGGAAGTTTCCAGTTTGAAGCTGAATGGCGAGGTCTCTTTCTCAGTTGGACTGGCCCAAGGCAGCTTGACTCGTGTTGGGTGCAGCACCAATGCCAAACCTATATCTCTAGCCTCCAAAACCACAAGTCTCTGTAGCAACCATGTTAAGGAAATAAGAGGCGCCAGTGTACCGATTTTCCCATACCAACGTACCATCTTGGAATTATTGATTTTTGTGCTTTTAATTATTTGGCTTCATTTTCAGTAAATTTTTTGAAGAAAAAAATAGAATCGGAGAAGAAATATACACACCTTCATTATATCTGTGATTGTAGCTAAGTGGAACGAAATTTAAGCTGTTAAGTGATAACTACAAAAATATTTAAGGTTTGAGATTGCAAAGTTGAGAGAGAGAGAGAGAGAGAGATTTATATATAATGGAGAGTGAGGGAATTAACTTTAGAGCATTATTCACTGATCTGGAGCTAATAAAAAACTATTTTCACCAATATTGGCCAGGGCATTTTGAAAACTCTGTTTCGCACTTGTAGAACACTGTTAGACTTAACGATTAGAAACTTGATGAAAAGAAAGAATTCTTAAAGTTCTGTTTAATTACAAGTATATATATATATATATAAAGCAACATTTGATGTACTAGATGGAATACTGTCATTGCCTGAAATTAGACGAAATTTTCCAGTACGCCTGAAATAGACTGGATCAAGCTGGAATTTGCCTGAAATGGTATTGTCCCTTCTCACCACTGCTTTATCGTTAAACTGGTGGGTATGATATGGGATTTGCAACACTGGTGTACAGTATAACTACTGTAGCGTAATGAGATTATGAGGTGGACTATATAATGATCAAGTCTAGGACCGAAGCGGACATGAAGTTGTTGATCTTTTGAAACCCGTTTGCTGTGACTGAACATGTGGACTGGATATGTGTCCCTTGAATGCTGAGACTTGTGCAGGTGCGTATGATGATGTGTAAAGTGCACATCTCTGCTGACGTGTCTATTGGTAGGTTTCGACGGAAAGAAGAGGATATTTTGATGGAATATTTTTCTTGAATTGCTATTGCATGGCATTATAAAATTATTACTATTACTGTTTTTTTTTTTCAAGGGGGTGCTTTGATAGGTTTGGTCTTAGTTTAGTTGTTTGGCCTTTCATCTTCTTTTTATTTATCTGTTTTTTTGTTCAGAGTTTGGTTCATTTCCTCTTCTTTTTTTCTTTTTTTTCCCTTTTCCCTTTCCTTTTTGTTGGTAAAACATTTGGCTCATTTTTTTCTTCATTTGTAAAATGTTGCATTACTTAAAGATATAAATAGTGAAAACTTTGAGAACAGTTTATGTTCATTGGATGCAAAGAGAGTCAAACCCATAGTTGTCAAATTGAGATTCGTATCGTGAATTGAAATGGCCTCGTACTGAATCACGAATCGAATTGAATTGTGAATCGTAAAGATTTAGTCACTTTTTTTAAATTACTTAAAAACATATATCTTCATATTTTGATATTAAATATATTTTATGAATATGAAATGTTTAGACTTATATCAATGAAAATGTTATTTGGAATGATAATCACGTAGTTTAATAGGTAAGAAGTTAACAAAGGTTCTTATGTAAGATCACCAACATCTATTTTTTTCTTTTTTGGACAACCATTCTTAATAAAGATAATAACCAAATAGACAAACTGTCCATTTCCAAAGTAACAATAATTAACAACAATATTGATCACTAAAAACTCTATCACTAAAATAATAACAAATCATGTATATATGTTGGTTATTTTAATATTAAACGCTATTAGAAGTTGTATTATATCATTTTCACTAAAAAAATGGAGTCGAAAATATGTCGGGCACAATAATTTCAAAAATTGTATGAATCGTAATAAGTGAATCGAATTGTGAATCAATTGTGAATTGTGCGATTCCCTACAAATTCACTTCCAAAATATATTCACCCATAGATACGTATCGATTTTGCAAAAAATGCGAATTGAATCATGAATCGAATCACGAATCGTAAGATTTTGATGATAACAGAGGTCACACCTTAAAAAGTACGACCAAAAATTATGTTACATTGTTTTTATTTTAATGGTTAAATGGCATTAGGTTTTTTTGTTTTTTGGGGTAGAATTAGCTCAAGTAGAAGTGAGGTCTAGGTGTTAGCCTTTTCTGGCTTACATATTTGCTTGAAAGTTGATCTAGGCATTTGCTCCAAGGCATCTTAAAATGCCTTGTTATCTAAGTCACCATAGTAGCATTCTTAATGAAACTGGTTGTCAATCATTAAATGAATCTTGCCATTTGCCAATTAACTTTGTGGCATAGATTTGCAATGTTTACTCTGCCAATAACTTTTGCAGTAATCCTAGATATTTGGATTTAATTTAATGATATGGTTTTCCAATTATCATAATTAGTTGTTGTCTATGGAACCTGTCTGTGGGGTGGTGCAGTTCAACAAACATGAGCTCAACTATATGACAAACTTTAGCATGTTGTAGTTTCCTGCAGAGTGTCTTTGTAAGTGTTTGAGGACTTATATAATGGAGCTTACTATGGTGCATTCATAGGAAATCTTTGATTATTCCCATGTTCCGGGACGTGCAGTTCTTCATCGCGGTCGCCATAGGCATGGTGCTAGAGCCACAACATCTGGGCATAGGATCAACTTACTGTTATGGTGCAGAAGGTATCCCAGTTCCTCCTTACCTTTACTTGTTGAATAAATCACTGCTCTTATTTATTTATTTCCATAGGTACGGAAATTGTTTGACTTAGGCCTAGTTTGGGAACAGGATTTTTTAGTAACTTTTTGGCTTTTTAACTAAAATATTATGTAAAAAAAACTAGTATGTTTGGGATGACTTTTTAATTTTTTACGAAAAGATGTGTAAAAAGTAGAGAGAAAGGAATCTTTCACTTTTTAGTATAAGTTGTTAGCTTTTTGATTTTTTTAGTGACCTTTTAGCTTTTTAACTAAAATATCCACTTGCCAAACGAGGCCTTATTATGTAATCATCAACATTTCCTTTCATGTACTTAATTTTCATGCACATTGTGTTCGGTTTCTCTGTCAGAATTGTCAAATATTAATAGCTGTTTTTTTTTTGGTTTGCTCAAACTGCATTTACACAACTTTCTATTTGCAGTTCCGTCTTTAGAGAGCTGAGAAAATATCAGAAAGATTTCTCTAACTGGTGTGGAGAGTGCCAACGTGAGAAGAAAGAAAGACTGCACCAGTCTGTCACCGCCACTAAACTGGTATATACTGCATCTGATCTGTTTTATTAAACTACGTAGATGATTCAAACTATAATTGACATCTTTGCGATGATGGTCCAGGAATTACTAAAGAGAGAAGGAGAAGCTGCTTCTTGAGCAAGAGTTCCGTGTGCAGTTTGCGGATTATTGTAATATAGCACAACTATCATCATCATCATCCTCTTGAAGAATTCACTGTAATTTTGTCGGTAGATATGAGGGTTGAAAAGGGTGTTGTTTGTCATAGCTCTTTGTTATGTTTCAGTACATCCAATTCTTGTCGAAAGTTACGTTTGATGTCCTTATTGTTATCAGCTGTGGCCACCTTTGGTGACAATATGATATCATTTCTGTACTTAAAACATATTATCCTTTTTTAGTCAATGAAATGTTTTTTTACCTTGAAAAGAAGACTCTACTTGTTGCTCTTAAGTCTAGAAACTTGTTTTTCAATTGACATGAAACATTTTTAGGGTTTTCGACTGCAAACAGAGAATAATGTGATCGGACTGAGAAACAAAAGATTGTATTGACTGATATGATATCTCATGGTAGATGAGAGTTGCATATTGTTTCTGCTGAAGTAATTTAGATCTTTGTTGGAGACTATTTTTGAGAACATGAGAAACATTATATTAATAAATGACAATATTACATAAATAAGACCCTAAAGGGGCATCTCAACCAAATGACAAAATAAAAACAAACAACAAAAAACGAAAATAAATTCGCCAAAAAAATAGTTATGAGTCAAGAAAAATCATTGATCTTCTCAAAGATGTGGTTTGGAAAGTAAGAACTACTTGAAAGCCCGTCGTCCCTGTCGTTGTTGTTCAACTTCGCCGTCAGCGCCGGCAGATATCGAACATAGCCAGAAGCTAGAGTTGAGAAAGGATACTCATAATGGTATGAGGGAAAACTTAAGAGAGGAGGCAATCATTGTGGATATCGAAAAATTTGAAAATCTATATCGAAAACAGAGAATAAAACTTTCAAAATTCTTATTTCGGATATAAAAAGTCCAGAGGTACATTTTAGAAGTGTAAACTTGAGACATGACTCTGGTTGAAAATTAATTGATGCTCAAGTCTATATGATCTAAAGGCCTTGATGGATTAGGGCAAATCCTAGACTCTTGTTGATGTTTGCGCAATTCTCATGAATTCAAGAATTTCACCATAAAATGCTTTGGGAATTCATTGTTTGTGTGTGATCTTTTTATTTAAGGTTTTATTTGAATATTTAATTTGTGAAAGTAAAAAGAAAAGAAAATTTTCATTCTATTTTATTTTTTTTCACAAATCTATCATTCATGCAGACTCCTTGATGAAAGGAAAATTTAGTTAAAACCCTTCCATTAGACCTTTATTTGGTGAAAATAACAGCTCAATTTATTTTGTTTCATAAACCTCCTAAGAAGGAGGTGCATAATTGAGCAATGATAGAGTAAAATTTCATTATTTTTTTCTTTGACAATATTGCTATGCATATATATCTTACAGAATTCTTTTAACAAGAAACACTTTCATTTTATTTTATATAAGTTTAAAAATGTTGTGTATGTGTATTTTTGGTTGGTTCATCTAGTATGTACTTTGTTTTTTTGTAATAATAAAATGTTACTGTGAACCAGAGTAACATGTTACTGTCAAACATAGTATTATGTTACTGTTTACATCAATTTCGACGGTATTTTATTTATTTTTTTAAGAATTTCATAGTCAACATGAATTTTGTTTGATAGATCATGATGAGAGAATTCTAAAAATACTAATTTTATTAAAAATCGACATCTAAATCAAAAGTTATATTATTTTAAAGTTTAAAATATTAAATTACTCACTAAGTATATTTTGATAATAGTGGTATGTGTTAAACTTCTTAAAGAAACTTTTTATATTTATTCTTAATACATTAAAGTTTTATTATGAGGACAAAGCAAAGGTGCAGAATTGGTGGGAATACAAGAGCCTGAATCACATGCCTTATCTAGGCCTCCAGAACCTGCATTTTCTTCATTGGATTCAAGTCTTGCATGAGCCAACAGGTTACAACCATGGAAGGAAAGAGGGGCGCTTCCCTTCTAGGTTTGATTATCCAATCCGAGGAACAAAATTAAATGGAATTGTCGGTCAGATCATGAAGGCTTCACTCGAAACATTGAATTGAAGGCCATCTTTCTATAGCCAAAAGCCTCTTTCATGGCATTTCAATGATCATTTAGAATTGTTGATCAGATCATGAAGGCCTCACTCGAAACATTGAATTGAAGGCCATCTTTCTATAGCCAAAAGCCTCGTTCTTGGCATTTCAACAATTGTTTAGATCACATGATTGGCCTCGAGAACTTTGATTTTGTAGTAGTAAACCTCAAATTTAAGCACACTTCCTCTCATAATTGTAGCCGTCTAGCTAGCCTGCTAAAATGGCATGAGTAATTAATTATATTCAATAATCTCAAAATATTACGCGGAATGTGTTCAAGTTACACTTTTAATTAATAACTTAGAATAAAAGAAATTATTAATAGAATGATGTTGAGCATTGACACATCTTTATTAAATAGTCATCTCACATGCCGATAGGTTAAACTACATCCTTGTGTATAAGAATTTTGAAGGAAATGCATTATTGATACTTCAGGGTTTTTGGTGTTGAAAACAAAAAAAATAATAGGGGTAATTTTATTCGCATATCATAGAAAATCTTAGCACATATTATTTGTGTTGTTTAGATATAGATTTTTGAATAAAAGGTTGTTAGAGGAGGGTGTGCGCGAGGGAAAGGGCTACTAAAGAAGGGTGGAGGTTCTTGAAGGGTATTACTGTGATTATGGTGGGGGTTGAAAGTAAAAAAGGTTGAGCAATTTTGGTAAGTGGTGGTTCTAAGAAGTTGAGGTCCAAAGAAAAAATATGGGAGCTATTAGCAACACTTAACCAATAAACCAATCTAAATTGATCAAATCGTATGATTTGGTTAGGGGTGTAATTTGGGCCCGGCCTGGCCTGGCCTGCTTTCTAGCCTCACGAGCTTTCGCCTATTTTCGGGCCAAGCTGGGCCAGCTTACCGGCTGACAAATTCGGTCCAAACCCATTGAAATTAGGACCTCTGGCCGAGCCTAGCGGGTCTTCTTTCTTTTCTTTTCTTTTTTGGTGCACAAAACGAACGATAGATAGATTATTTATGAGAGAGAAAAAAACAAAAGAAAAATTGTACTAGAGTATTTTAGTTAAGATTAATGAGATGTTTGGTTATATTTTATGTGGTGTTATTTAATTATGTATGACTTATATTTTTTTGGTTATGACTAAAAAAGTATGAAGGTATTAATTTTCTTCTTTTAAAATGAATAATTTTATATATATCAAAAGGAAATGAAATATTACAATCATCAAATTAAATAGATAACATTTATTTAATAAATAATTTTTATTTCAAAATGAAATAAAATATTACAAAAATTTATATCATTAAATAAAATAGATATAGATTATTGATGATGGTAGATAAATTGCATCACTATAAGTTAAGTACATCTCAACTAGATTGGCACATATTGGCCTACTAATAATTTGCATTATGCTCCACATCAATAATCTAATAGATATATTACGAAATGAAATAGTAAAAAAAAAAATTTGTTGATCAATCATCAGAGAAAATTCACTCATGTTGTCCTAGGATATATCATTCAAATCGCTTTGAATTATTTCATTTTCACTATAATTTTGTCTTCTCATAAGCGCATGCATATGATCTCTCGATATCATCAGTGCCTCAATCATTTGGGGTGAAAGTCTCTTGCGGTAATCGTTCAATACTCGTCTACCTACATTAAAAACTATTTCAGAAGTAACTGTAGAAATAAGAACGGTTAGTATATCACAAGTTATCTGTGAAAGTACAGGCCACATAGGTTGATTTTGTTTCCACCAATCCAAATTTTCAAAATCATCGCTATTATCCATTGGTAGGCTATCCAAATAACGTTGCAATTTAGAAATACTTACGCTTGGATGTTGAGATATTCTTCTACTTTTTATTGCTGAAGAAACACTTAATTTTCACCTTGTGATGAGGCTAGCGTCGTATTTGCAGATACAACTTCCCTATATTCTTCAAATAGTTTTGTGCATGTTTTCATAATAGGGGCAAGTTATTTTTTATCAGCGAAAATACGATCTAAAAATTCTTATAAACCAATTTCTTTACACCTAGGGTCAATTACGACGATTAAACCTAAAAGATGAGGCAATAGATCAAAATATTTATCAAAATTTTCTTTCATTGCAGTAATAATGGCTATATAATATTCATTACACATATTTTGTGAAAACTTTTATTATTTCTACTTCTACTAACGAATGTAAAATAAATGGTGAAGTATGGATATATATATATATATAAGAAAATAATTTTGTTATAGTATCAAAAACTTTTAGAAAATCTTTATATAAGTCTACTTAGTGCCAATTAAGTTATGTGGGAATCAGTACTCCTCCTATTGATGTTGTTGCAACAAATAAATCCATTGTTTTTATTTATTTATAAGCTCTCTTTAACATATTATACGTTGAATTACATCTGCTGCCTATATCTAAAATTAATTTTTTAAATGACATACATTCTCGTTAACAAATTTTCCTATATTCTGAAATTCGATTAACAGAAGACATAATGGTAACAACCCATGTTTTATTACCAGTACAGAAGTGTAATATACATGCATAGCTTCTTTAACAATCAAATTTAAAATATGAGTACAACAACGAACATGAAGTAAATCACAATTAACAAATAATTGTAAAGTTGACTTAAAATAGGCTACAGTCTGATTGTAATATGTTGCATTATCTAAACTAATGATAAATATTTTATTTTGCAAAGCCCACTCATGTAATACATTTTTTATTTCTACCCAATGTGAATGGCCAGTGTATAGAAGTTCAACTAATCTAAATAAAATGATTCTTTTATTTAATTTCCAATCATTATCAATAAAATGTGTAGTGATAGATTGATATTCTAAATCGTTATTTGACCACAGATCAGATGTTAAACAAACTCTTCCATTCAAAATTTTAAAAATGTCACTTTTAATGTTATTAAATTTCTATAAAATTTTGTTCCTAGCAGTATCTTTGAAAAACCTTGATATTTATAGCGATCTTGGTTCTTCCTCCTTTGATTGTTGTATCCGGACTTAGGTTCCGTAGAGTTGGTTGTTGTATATGTCTTGTTGTCATCCTTCAATTCCATATATTTGAGTTTTAGGATGTAATGGGCGTGTTTCGAACAGGTTAGTTGAGCCTTGGTTCCATTTCTTGTTGCCCGGATTTTTGGTGGTCCGCTCGAGCGGACCCTTTCACGCTCGAGCGGAGTTTGCACACTTTTAGCATTTTGTGCTTCTGCAAAAGTACTGTAGGTTTGTTTTTCACGCTCGAGCAGATTTCCTTACCCTTGAGTGGGTCGCGCTCGAGCGGGTATCTTGGCACTCGAACGGGTGTTCAATGTCTGTAAAAATACTAGAAGAGGTTAATCTATGCTCGAGCGGGCTTTCCTTTGTGCTCGAGCGGGTGTATTTTGTTCTTGTGTCTTGGAGGTCGAGCGGGTCATTTTGCGCTCGAGCGGGTCCAGTTTTTATGTTTGACGCTCGAGCGTCCTATTCTCCGTTCGAGCGGACTAGTCGTATATCAAATGGCAGTTGGGTGATTTTGAATCACTTTTCACATTCCCTTTCTCTCTCTTACTTTTCTAAACCCTCTTTTGAGAGCTAGTCTCTCTAGAATATACCTTCTCTCTAAGGTTTGATCTAGTTAGAGTGATCTCCCATCTTTGTCCCTTTGTAAAAAGTGTGGAGTTTGTTGTGAGCTATCTAACAATCTGAAAATTTCTTGGTCTGGAGCACTTCGAGATTTCTTCATCTTCTCCATTGGGTTTCATCTCTTGAGGTAGGGATTCCTACTCATCTTTATGAACTTTAACATAGATGTTGAGCTTTTTGTATAAATGACTTGACTTGGGAAGTTAGGATTTGAAATGTGTAACATTGAAAAAGGGGGGTTTTGTTCATTTGACTCATACACATGTGTTTTGGGTCTGAAATAGAAATTAATGATGTTGTTGATAATATTTGGACCTTTGGGTCAATATTGAGAAAAAGGGGAAAATGCCATGTTTGGGCATATTTGGGTCATTAGTGTAATTAATGACATTTATTATGGAAATATGAAATTGAGTCGGAAATAATGTAATCGGCTTATTATGAGGTAAAATGATGGAGTTGGAATTACTAATCACCCACCTTGAAAATTGTTGATAATTTATCTGTTGGATGTAATTATTATCTGTCTAGAAATAATTGCTTTGGGCTATCGGTGGAGGATAGTCTTGATTGTTGTAGACAATGCATGATGATTAGGTGGACTAAAACTAATCAATTGAGTATGCCATCGAATATGGCAGTCGGTAAAATACATCAAATTTATGTATTGATTGATCATGTATATGATATGTGTTTACATACATTGTGTTGTGTGGGAAGCGATAGGGGATGTACTCCACGGTTTAGGGGAAGATAGGGGATGGACTCCTAAACTGGATATTGTTTGGGAAGAGATAGGGGATGGACTCCATGGATACAACAAATATGTGTATCTGTTGAAGTATTGATACAGCGAATCTGTGTATCATTTATGAAGTAGGGAAGTGTTCATGTGATATTGATAAAGCAAATATGTGTATCTATTGTGAATTGCGGAAGTGTTTTGATATGAGTGTTATCTCATTTGAAAATGAATTGTGGATAAGGATAATGTTTTAACATGAGATGCAGTTTCATTTAAATTGTTTTGGTTAAGTTCTGAGCCATGCTGATAAATTGAAAATTATATAAGTAAAGGAAAGTGGAATGGCACATAGATTATTTGTCATGGAACTGAATGTGTTATAAGGTGGTTCATATGAGTCAAACATTTATCAAATGCTAATGTTTTAGTCATTGCTTATATTATGTTTAGCATATCTCTACTGGGCGTTGGCTCACCCTATATGAGACATCATTTTCAGGTACAGGTGATATGCCACCTCCAAGGACGTAGCTTGGAAGGCTTGAGGCTGTTAAACTCTTTTGTTGTTTTTGTTGTATTGCATGTATATCAAGCCAAGGGCTTATTTGGTGTGGAGTTAGTACTCTCTTTTTGTAACCAAGTGTTGACTTGGAAAGTTGTAAGCCCATAGGGCATTTACTTTTGATGTCAACATGTAATACATTTGTAAGAAATACTCTGAGAAATGAAATTATGCTTTACTCTATTATGTCTAAGCATGTCAATACTGTATGATTTATGGGTTTATTTTGAGGGCATGACAATATTGCAGTGCAAAACCTCCGCGAATTATTTCTAAAAAATGGGGACATTTACTAGTAGTAAAAGGTTGTTCTTTTTCAATAACATAATTAATTACAAAATTTTGTGCATGTATAAGATCATATGAAAATGTTTGCAAATTACCAATTGATGAACCTTCTAATTGCATTTAAATTCTAATATCAAGTTATTGACTTTATAAATGTCTTTGAGCATACCTTTTTAGATGGCTAGTAACCCCCCGCCGATGCAGTACTAAGTAAATGTACACAATATTTACATTTTGTTTTAATTACAATTTTATCATCAAGATTAGTTACAAATATTATTTCAAAATGCTCCCAAATAATACTAGACGTGCCCCTAGATGATGATGCCACTATTAGAAGAGGGATATTAGCATGCCTGGCCCTAAGATTTCTAAGGCCCAAAGCCGATAATCAACTAATAAATTTTTGGGGCCCTTCACATTTTTTTTTTCATTGAATGAATTTTTTTTTTTTTTTTAAGGTAAAGAACAAAAGATTTGTGCCAAAATCACAAAAAATGCTTAGTATTACATTATAACAACTAATAAGTATCAGTTGATCCTCGCTCTTCTTGCATTTTTAGAAGAAAATAAATTAATCATACTTGCATAATCTAGTTTTTTTGCAAAGTCATTTTCAATGGATAACAATGCTCCATTCAATCTTTCTTGTGACATGGTTGATCGAAGATAATTTTTGATCATTTTCAACTTTGAAAAGCTTCTTTCCCCTAATGCAACTATGACCGGAATAGTCAAAAATATCCTATAAGCAACCCACAAATTTGGGAAACAATTTGCCATCAACTGTGGATAATTGAACACTTCAATTGGTTTATTGATTTTTTTTGGCAATCTCTCTTTCAAGACTTTTAGCTCCATCAATAAATCTCTTCCATCAATATCAGAAATCTCACCATATTTTAAAAAAATTTCAAGATTCACACACCCCATCTTCAACGATTCATTGCTGCACTTTTTCAAGTCAAACAAAAAGCCAAAGTTTGCCTCATAGACTTTGAATTGTTCAAACCTATTTTTGAGTGAACAAAGGGCTTGATCAACAAAATAGAAGAAGTAACCAACTCTAAATGATTCTTCAGCCGACTAGATCACCTTTTCGCTAACATTCTCATCAGATTGTTTCTTTCTAGAAATGATGCGCTTTTCAACAAATGTGGGTTCAATTCCCAATTCACTTGCCATTTCTTTAGCTTCAACCATAGCCTCCATGAAACCAACTTCTCTATACATTGCAACATACTTAACAAGCCCATTTAGCTGCTTTACAGCAACTGCTATATCCATATCTTCACTTTGAAGAAGCTTGCTAACAGAGTTCACATGAAACAACAAATTGTACCAAAGTACAATACTAAACAAGAACTCAAAAGTCTCAAGTTCATGAGTTACCAGGAATTTAGCTTCACTTTTTGCAATCAAATCTGTGGTAGGATTGTTGAACAAGTCAACTAAAGCATCTTTTATTTTTGAAGCATGGTATCTTAGTGGTTTAACACTTTCAATGCGACTTTCTCAACACGTTTGAGACAATGACTTAACCGTGTGGCCTTCCTTTAGATTATCCTTTAAAATTGTCCAACGTTTAACGGAAAATGAAAACAATACATATATGCGTTGTACCACACCAAAAAAAGTTTTTGCTTTAGAGCAAGAGTTGGCCATATCACAAAGCACAAGGTTAAGACCATGACAACCACAAGGCGTATAGAATGCTTTAGGATCTACTTGAAGTACTCTTGTTTGAACACATTCATTTTTGCCTTTCATGTTAGAGCCATTGTCATATCCTTGCCCTCTTAAGTCACCAATATCAAGTTGAAGGTTAGCTAATGCTTCTTGAAGTTTATCAAAAAGTCTTATTCCCAATGTATCATCCACATTCAAGAATTCCAAAAAAAACTCTTTCACCGTAATTGGACTTGTTGAAACATCTACGCACCATACAACAAGAGACATTTGTTCTTGATGGCTTATATCCGGAGTACAATCAATTATGACCGAAAAATATTTTGCTAGTTTGATTATCAACAAAATTGCACTTTTGACTTCCCCAGCCAACATTTGTATCACCTCATTTTGAATTTTGTGACTCAAATAATGGTAATGAATCTCACCATTTTTTATCCGCCGCAAGTGTTGTTCTATCGTTGGATCAAACTCGCCAATCATTTCAATTATGCTTAAAAAAGGTCCATTGCTCTCTTCATAAATATTCTCATGGCTTCTACAAAAAGGCAAATTATTCTTGGCAAGTGTTTTCATAACTGTAATTATTATCAATAAAACCCTTCTCAAGTGCTCTCTTTCTTTGTTAACTTGTTCTTGTATACTTTTATTTATTGTTTGATGCTTTCCCAATCTTTCCTCCAACTCAATCCATTTGCTCATGCAAGTAATGTGCTCGTTACCACTTTCATAGCCTTTAAATCTCTCGCCAATATTTCTCCAGTCTTTAAATCCTTTGATAGTCAATTGAGTCTTATTTCTCTCTTGCTTAAACAACTTACAACAAAAGCAAATTACTCTATCCAAAAGTTTCGAGTATATTAGCCATGTCCTATCAAATTTTCCTCCATTTGGTAAATGCCGAAAGTAATGAACAGGTGAGAAATGCCTATGCCTAGAAGAATCATCCTTAGGAAAGTTGAACTCACAATTTCTTCTCACAGGACCTCTTTCGACTAAAAAATTTTGTAAATTCTAGTCAATTATTTTTCAAGTCCCCGGATCATCTATATTTGAATCCTCACATTCCACATTTATCTCATTATATTGATTGGTTTCTGCATTCCCAAATTTCCCATTTCCTTCTTCATTCACCAAATTTTCATTCTCATTATTCAAGTCTTCAACTGATTTTTCTGTTTGTTTGTCACTCGTAAAGAACTTATCAATAGCTCCTTTTTGGCACTCGACTAATTTTTCGACTTTTTGCTTCTTTTTCCTTTTTGCGAATCTAGACGAATAATTTCTTTTAAGAGTAATGATGACCTGAGAACAAAATTCTTTTTTAGATCAAAATTCAAAACACGAGCACCACCACCACTTAACAAAATACAAAACTTTTAAATTATGTAATGTGAACTATTAAACTTAAACAAATTCTTCTTCATGATGTAAATACCAATATTATAATAGCAATTGAGCAAAAGACAAGACAAATATTTAATTAATTGAATAGAAAAAAATAACCTACATGTGCTGCTCAGTGCTGCTCCATTGTGCTTTGTTTGTGTGTTGCTCACTACTCAGTGCTGCTCCATTGTGCTCTTTGTTGGGCTACTGCTGTCAAGCTATTGGGAAAATTGGATAAAGAGTAGTTAGGGCCCTCTTAATTTTGAATGGGCCTTTCAATTTTTTAATGGATCAATTTATTTTAAGTTAGTTTGGACCTTTTTTTAATTTTTTTTGGACTTAAAACATATAATAGGAGAGGGCCTCTTTTTTGGGTCTATTTTGAGGAGCCCTAGGCCATGGCCTGGTGGGCCTATGCCTAGGGCCAGCCCTGGATATTAGGTACAGTAGAAGGAGAATCAACAAATTCATGCTGTGTATATGCATTAATATCGACATAAACATTAGGAATATTGGGATCCATGATAATATAAGTAAAATAATATATATGAACTAACAATTAATTAAAATAATGAGTAAACAATAAAACCTAATGTATGTTAAGAAATAATTAATGTTTCCGACTGACGAATGCAATACGAAAATTAGCTTCTTCTGATAAAAGTTTATTCTTATACAATTGCAATTGCCACTTAGGGATAAGATTTCAAAATTAATTGAGAGAGTTCAAAAATGAGAGAGAATGAGAGTTTGAAAGAGGGATTTGTTTGTAAGAAATAAAATTGAGAGGGGTGGTATTTATAGAAGTTGGGATGAAGGACGGGTTAATTTATAAAAATAAAAAAATATGGCTATTGTGAATTTAATGGTAATTTGACTATTTGAATTTTTTTTCTCTTCAAATTTCTTATTGTTGCACAGTGCAGGCATAGAGATTCGTTGGGCTGAGTCAGGCTAGGGGAAAAAAATTTGGGCCAGGCTCTAGAGCACACAGTCCTAGCTCAAGGTTTCCAAGCCCACCCGAACCACTGGCTTGCAAGCCAAAATTGCACCCCTAGATTTGGTTTAGATTTTTTACGTGATTATTTAGATTCCAATTTTAATAAATTAAAAATGGTTTATTTAGATTCTAGTTTTAATAAATTAAAAATGGTATTATTATAGTTTTGTTAAGTTTTTGTTATTGACAATCCCGTTTGACAAAACTCCTTTCAGTTGTAATTTTATTCGATATTTTATCTAAGTGAGACTATGAGTATTTAGATTCGAAATCCAATCTGAATTGTGCCTATGTAGAGGAGTTTATGATCTTAATCCTATCATGTTTGCCACTTCGCTGACTATGTCAGGGATCGAGCTGCCCGGTCAGCTCGCAGGGGTCAAAGGGGTAGCGTCCAAAGAAAAAAGCAAAATTGCAATCGAAGTGGTTTGACCGCTTGAGCGGCCGATTGTGCGCTCGAGCGGAGATGTAATCCTTTCAGAAGTTTCACTCACTTGCAAAAATATTGGGAGTTGTATTTTTACACCCGAGCAGCCTTTCTTGCGCTCGAGCATAGATCATGTTCTGAAACACCGGTTTAGTCAGTCCACTCGAGCATCCATTCTTGTGCTCGAGCAGAGATCGCGATTCGATCTGCTATAAAGCTGTAATTAAATCAGTTTCTAGGGTACGGTTTTCAGATTTTCTTCTTGGGTATTAAGGTTTTCATCTGGAGCTTCTGTGCTTCTTTCCTTTAATATCTGTGAGAGTTTATATCATGAATTGAGTAGATTATATCAAAGGGTTTGTTTATTTTGTTTTATTCACAAAAGAGAGTTTTGTTCTTTGGTGGATTCTATGGAATTTGAGTCTGAAGTTTTGGTAGATTCTGAAGTGGCTCATTCTTGTAGATTTGATATCGGCGTTGTGGATTCAACGTTGGGCAAGACAATTCCAAGATGAAGACGGGGTTGGAAAAGACACATAGGGGTCGGTTCAATTCGGGCGTGGATTCACTAGGTAATTGAGAGTACACTTGTGTAATTCCTTTATGTTTTTTTAGTGGATTGTTTTGTGGCTTTTGTCCATATTTTTTTTAATCACAATTGGAGATACTCTTATTGTGGTTTTTTCACGTAAAATCGTAACGTCAATTTGTCTTTGATTGTTTGATAGAGATTACTATTTATTGGTTAAAATTGATATGTAATCACAAATTAATATCTCGAGAATTTTAAAATTTTCAAGTTTGATTCATAGTATAATTTTCAAAATAATTGGTTTAAATTAAACTTATTCATCCCCTACTTTTTATTAAGTTTAATATGTACATGAGCATTTCACAAAAATAACTCTATTTGGTTTGGAAATTTTAATTTTTTTTTTTTGATTTTTTAATCTGTATTTTTTTTTTGTTTTTACTAAATTTGTTTAAATATTTTAGTCATTTTTTTTTTAATTTTTAAATTCACTTAATCTAGATACACTTAAAAATATGAAATTTGTACAATTTTTTTTAAAAAAAATTCATTAAACACAATATATATATATATATATATAAACATTTAGTATATTTTTATATTTTGTTTTATTCAAAGAATTTTTTAATATTTTTTTTTATATATTTAGTCTCACATCGACGCTTCTATGTTTGAAAGAATCGAATCTATAAATACAAATATTTTTTATTTCACATCTGTATGTTCTATATTTAAAACTTTTTGTGTTAGCACGATTGTAAATTATCTTTATAGTTTGAAACACCATGTGTACGCGTACTTGGATAATAATTTATAATTTATCTATTATTATAATTATTATTTTTAAGCTCATGAAGTCTTTTGGCAACTTTCAAAAAAATAAACTTTTGTTTAAAAAGTTACTATTGTTGGTTCATTATTAGCTAAAAAATGTTAGATATCCCATTAATTTCATACAAAAATATATTTTTAAAAAAATTCCAAAAATCACAAATAAATCAACTCCAAGCCGTCTCAATGCATTCCTTCTCCTTTTCTTTTCTTTTTTTTTTTTTTGGGTAAATGGTCCCAATGCATTCATTTATACGTTCAAGCAGATTAGGTTTTTGTTAAAAAGTTAAAAAATCAATAAAAAAAATTTTAAAGTAAAAAATCATATAAAAAATCAAAGATTTTTTATTTTCCTCTTTATTTTATGCATGTTTTTTATATATATAAAAAAATCAAAAAAATCATTTCCAAATAGTTTTTATATTTTAAACTCATATTGTAACTAAAAAATTTACTTTCCAAACTAACCTTTAGTTGTTACAGATGTTCAGCCTAGGGCTGGGTAAGCATCCATTCAATCCACCAAAATTGGATGGCCTGAACCAATGCATCATAAAATGAATAATTTCAATAGTTTAAGTGGACAAATATTGATGCATTTTTCCTAATCTGTCTAAGTTCGGACGTATGGCAAATAGGAGGCCACCAGACCTAACTCGACTCATCAATATACCTAAGAAAATGCTATTATGCTTTTATATTTCATGTATTGAAAAAGATTTTTGTAGCGATCCCGATTTTGACCCGGTCAACTTACGGGGGTCGAGCTAAAAACAAAAATGTAAAATGCATTCGAAATTGCTTACAGGAAAGTGTATTTCACGCTCGAGCGGATCATGTTATATCAGTCCATAAGGGGAGATTTCAGATCACTTTCTCAGTTCTCTCTCTGTCTAAAGCTCTCCAAAATTTCCAAATCTAGAGCTTCTCTCTCTAGAAGTCATCTTCTCTCTTTGATTTCTCCACATCCATTGGGAGTTAGACTGCAATTCTTCATCAAAGTTGTGTAACTTCTCGAGGGCATTGTTATGTGCGGTAGAGATCGAGTTTCGACACCGTAAATTTTGGGGTTTCAGCTCATTTCTTCTTCA